CATTTTTTCCCAATTTTTTAACATTTTTTACCCATTTTTCCCCCATTTTTTCCCATTTTTTTCTAATTTTTTATGATTTTTTTACCAATTTTTTCCCATTTTTTCCCCATTTTTTCCCATTTTTTTAGGATTTTTCCCATTATTTTAGGATTTTTTCAAAATTTTCTAGGATTTTTTACCATTTTTTTTAGGATTTTTTACCATTTTTTTCCAATTTTTTCCCCATTTTTTTCCCATTTTTTTAGGATTTTTTCCCAATTTTTTAGGATTTTTCCCCATTTTTTTACCATTTTTTACCATTTTTTTCTGATTTTTTTACCATTTTTTTTCCACTTTTTACCATTTTTTTCTGATTTTTTACCATTTTTTTCTGATTTTTTACCATTTTTTACGCATTTTTTTCCCACTTTTTTACCATTTTTTCCCCATTTTTTACCATTTTTTTCCCATTTTTTTAGGATTTTTTCCCATTTTTTTAGCATTTTTTACCATTTTTTTACCATTTTTTTAGGATTTTTTACCATTTTTTTAGGATTTTTTACCATTTTTTTTAGGATTTTTTACCATTTTTTTCCAATTTTTTCCCCATTTTTTTCCCATTTTTTTAGGATTTTTTCCCAATTTTTTAGGATTTTTCCCCATTTTTTTACCATTTTTTACCATTTTCTTTCTAATTTTTTACCATTTTTTCCCCATTTTTTCCCATTTTTTAGCAGGTTTTTTTCCCATTTTTTCCTGATTTTTTCCCATTTTTTTCCCCATTTTTTCCCATTTTTTATGATTTTTCTACCAATTTTTACCCATTTTTTACCCAATTTTTTCCCCATTTTTTCCCAATTTTTCCCCATTTTTCCCCATTTATTTCGGATTTTTTCCCATTTTTTCCCCATTTTTTCTCATTTTTTACGATTTTTCTACCATTTTTTCCCGATTTTTTCATTAATTTTTTCCCATTTTTTCCCAATTTTTTAACATTTTTTACCCATTTTTCCCCCATTTTTTCCCATTTTTTTCTAATTTTTTATGATTTTTTTACCAATTTTTTCCCATTTTTTCCCCATTTTTTCCCATTTTTTTAGGATTTTTCCCATTATTTTAGGATTTTTTCAAAATTTTCTAGGATTTTTTACCATTTTTTTTAGGATTTTTTACCAATTTTTTCCCAATTTTTACCATTCTTTCCCATTTTTTCTCCCATTTTTTTACCATTTTTCTAGGATTTTTTATCATTTTTTTCCCATTTTTTCCCATTTTTTCCCCATTTTTTCCCATTTTTTACCACTTTTTTACCATTTCTTCCCAATTTTTTACCCATTTTTAACCCACTTTTCCCCATTTTTCCCCATTTTTTCCCAATTTTTCCCATTTTTCCCATTTTTTCCCCATTTTCCCAGCATTTTTTTACTGGATTTTTTGGGTCCAAAAATCAAATTTTGAGGTGCCCAAAGTGGATTTTTGGGTCGAAAAAGGGAATTTTTGGGTCCCAAAGTCGATTTTTGGGTCGAAAAAGCCAAATTTGAGGTGCCCAAAAGAATTTTTTGGGTCAAAAAAGGGAATTTTGAGGTGCCCAAAGGGATTTTTTTGGGCCAAAAAAGGGAATTTTGAGGCGTCCAAGCGGGA